CCGGCCTCGGCGGAGTCGCCCCCAGCCGGCACACCCGCGTCGTCGCCCCGCGCCAGGAGGGGCCGGTGGGCCGTGCCACGCTCCGCTCCGCTCCGCTCCTGTTGCGCCCTGTCAGCGGCGCCGGCTCGCAGCCTGCCCGCGGGCGGCGGAGCTGAGCTGGAAAGGCCTCTCTCTCGCCCCGTTGGACGCAGAGGGCAGCAGCGGGGCGAGGGCTCCGCACCTGCTGCTCCGGGGGCGGTCAAAGGGAGCTCAGCGCTCCCGCAGATCAGGCCACAAGCGGCGGGCTGAAGGTCACCTAGGCAGGGCCAGGAGGTGAGGGCTGTAGGGCACGTTTCCCGCCTGGGGGACTGTCCGGCTTACTTTACGGACACCTCGGACACCCCCTGCCCCTTTTGCCGGCGGAGGGAGGCGCTGGCGCGCACCCGCGTGGAGCCTGCCGGGGGCAGCCCCTCTTCTGCCGCCTCGCGCACCGCCGCCGCTCTGGCTGCGCGCTTGTTATGTCCCCCGGGGCCGGGGCCCCACCAAGGCCTGGGACCTCCTGGTCAGCCTCTGCCTGGCTCTGGTAAGTTGGCTGCCTGCAAGACCGGGAAAGAAGCTCTGGCCAGGGGGAACCAGAGCGAGTGTGGGGCTGTCTTCCTGGACCTGTGCCATTGTGCTGGTCAGCGCCCGCAGGCTCCCTTGACTCAGTCAGGGGGGTCCTGGGTGCTGGCTCGTGTGCTGTGCTCCATGGGCGACTGGTGCCTCCTGAGTCAGGGGGAGCACTTGCGCCCCCAGCGGCCAGTCAGTGACTGGTGCAATTGGCCTTGGGGGGACTGGCGACTGGTGCAATTGACCTCCCCCCCCTCAGTTGGCAAGATTGGGGGGACTGTGGGGATTGCTTCCCCTGGTGCCCCCACTCCCCAGCCGGCGCTCACACCCACCCCCCTTGCCCATCGCCTACATGGGAACACTGCTGGGGGAGGGGAGCACCAGCAGTTTCAAGGGGTGCACGGGCACCCCCATGCGCCACTGCTCTGCTTAGTGTCCCCTTCTGGACCTCTTGTTTCAAACCTGTAACCCTCACTCCTGTTCCTATTTTCTTTTTATTTGTCCCAAGCAATCAGTTGACGTGTCCCCACTGGCCTCTCTCATTAAGGGAGACTTACAATAATTCATGATGGGCCTAAGCCGATGACTTTATGGCACATCAAATAGGTTTGACTCGTGAGTGGTCTGGTGTGCTCTGCTTGGTGTCCCTTCTTGGTGCACTTGTTTTGAACCTAGGACCTTCACTCCCATCCCTATTTTGTCTTTTTGTTGTCACATCACTAATGTGCCCTTATTGGCCCCTTCATCAAAGCAGGCTTATAGCTCTACTTGTTGGGCTTGAGCCCATGTTCTCAAATGGCACAGCCAAAGCCCGAGGACTGGGCCCCCTACTCATTCTGTCCACAGAAAAGTTTCAAACATTGTCGCAAAGAGGAAGAGGAAATAACGAAGTCAAACAAACCATAAGATAAGAAGGACTTTGGGACCTGAGGGTCTAAAGGGCTACAAGCCTGGCAAAGTCAAGTGTTTTCTTCTAGGAAGCAAAATTTACCTCAGCCTGGTGTGTGGGATTAACCTGCCGTGGGAACAAGTTACTTGCTATATGATTTTTTTTCAATGTTTCGTGAGATGTAATAATGAAAGAGGCTTTGTGACACTCATATCTATTGTGTTTCTGTGTGATAATGAAGCACAGTGGAACATTTAGCAGCCCTCACAGGGAAGTGGATAAAGGATCCTTTATTGTAAGGGTGCTACAGTGTTGGTTCTTTACAAAGCAGAAATAGAGTGGAGGGAAAAAAGGAAAATGGGTTTAGTTTTTACTGAGCCTGTTAATGAGTATAACTGCAGGAAGCCCCTCTGTGAATGACAGCTGTTGCTGATATTTAGACTTATCTTCTGTCAAAATGCTAGAAAATATTGTTTGCCGCACCAAAGGCTCAAGTCATATTTTTAGTGTCACATGTGCTGTTTATAATAAAGCAGAGAGAGACAACTAAATCACATCAGGTGTCATAACCTCCCTCCCAAACTGTGAGGGGGTTTGAAATCCAAACCAGGATTCAGAGCCAAATTTTGCAAATGCTTCGTATCTCAGTGAAGGGCCACAGCAAAATCTTGGTTCTGCCCATTCCCAACTTTGCAGTTCTTGGAATCCCCTTATGAGGTCCTGAGCCCAGCTCTAGCTTTATATTTTAGACTATAGATGACTATGAAGATGCTGAATTAATTTTTCCTCCAAATTTCTGGCACAAACTCAGCCTAGTTAAGCAAAACTGTTTCATAAATCTGCTTTGTGAAGCAAGAATGAAAATATGTTAACACTTCTGCCAATAATTGGCTTGCATTCTCTTCTTACACCGCTTTTACACCTCTATGGCTCCACTGACTTCGCAGAAGTAACTCCTGATTTACAGTGTTGGAAATGTGAGGAAAATCGGGCCCCACAATATCTTATTAAGACTCACAATGCAGTGGGACTAACGGAGTTTGGGTTGAATTGGGCACAGCACACCTATGTATTTATTTGTACATTCCTATATATTGTGTGTGCATGTTTGAATAGAATAGACAGACACAGAGATTATGACTTTGGATACAGCTGGTAATCGTACAATAAATATATATTCTTCAATCTTGCTGAAAAAGCTGAACTCCATTTCCATAAGTCTACTATGTAACATACAGTGCTTAATATATTGTGCTTGTTCAATTATACTTTTACTGAGCTAGAGTCACAAGAGACAGCAAGCTTTTCAGGCTTTCTGGTGATTTCCTTAAGGTATTTCAGTACTCGGTCATAGTACGGAACATAATAAATTGCACCATCTGTATACATAGTTCTTGGTTCCTGACAGAATGAGAGATAAGGCTCTAGGCATTGTAAGCCAAAAAAAATACAACGCAGATTTCTTTTCTTTCAGTGTTTACAGTGACTTAATGTCAAAAGAACTGTAGATTTTGCTGCCATTAGCAACTGTCCAGGCACCCGTGTCTAAGTGTTGTTCCTTCGGTTCAAAGACACACCAGGGAACTGAGGACACAGGGGCCAAACCTCTATCCTGTTATACAGGAGCAACTGCAGTCCATAAAGCTGCATTAATAAGTAAATAAGAGCAAAATTTGGTCGGAGTAATCTGCATCCTCTTTGCTTTGGGATGATAACTGCCATATCCCTTAATGATACTACCAGACTTCAGACACTGTAAATCAAATATCAACTACGGGTCAAATCCTGCAGTCTACACAGAGGCACATTTCTTGTTAAAGTAAATAGTATTGTGTAAGTGCTGCGTAAGTACCCCGTTCTCCTCCAGTTAACACATCAGGCCCTTCATTAACTTTAAAGTTTTCTACAGAATTGGATTTCCCCTCTGTGGACAGAATAATCAATATTATTTCATATTTAAAAGAATTAAAGTTCCAAGAAAGGGCACAGTCCTAACTTTGAGCACTGAGTTTACAGTTAAGTACATACTTAAATGCTTTGCTGAATTGTGGCTTCAAAAGGGGACTCAAGTTCAGAGCTAAAGCAGAGTTAAATTGGTTTTAAGTATATGTTTAAGTGCTTCGCTGAATCACAGCCAAAATTAGTATGGGGGGATATGATATTCTAGTCTGGAGACACTGGGCCAGAATCTATTCCACCTATTTAGGTACAGGTTTCCCTTGCTTTATGCTGTGCATGCATTCCTGGAAAACAGCACATAACTCGAATTGACATAAAGGGAACCCACTTTACAATGTAACAAATAGGGATATGTTCCAAGACCTCGACTATACTGACCCCCAGACCCAGTTCTACCAGTTGTACAAGACAATTTTGTTACTCACCAACAGCAGACAGTATACACAAGCACAGGGCACTATCATAATGGGGATGGCACCTATAGAAACGTGTCACAAACAAGGAGCACAGATCCATACAGGAGACTATATTTTGGGTGTTCATCATTCCCACAATGCACCGTACAAAGCAGCTGAGTGTGGGCTTCCACCACACAGATCGCGTAAGAGAGTGAAATTACCTCACATATAACACATTTTTGGTATAAAAATGGTCATCACATAAGAGTGAATTCACACATACAGAACCCTCATAAAGCAAGGGAAACCTGTACATAAGTAAGTAGACTTAGGCATCTAAATGTGATTCTGTTTTGCCTTGCTCGAGTCCCTGAAAATCACTTAAAAGGAAGGTGGGTCCTACTTCTCCTCACTGCTTTTTGGTGACTCAATATTAAGGGTAAGATGATGGCACATTGCAAAAGTAGATGCATGACTGAATTTTAAGGAACTTAAACAGAATGAAATAGAATCACATTTCAGTGCCTAAATTCACTTAGATGCATAAAAGGTAGAAAAGAATCTGCTCATAGGTGTACACTGAGACAAGCATGGTTTAGTGGCCCAAACCTAGTAATGAAGAACAC